TAACACACAAATCAAATTAAAATATGCTTGCTTTGTAACTCTCAATTTGCTATTTACGATAATTAATTTATGTGACTTGAATAACTCGAAAAAAACTCGAATAAAGAAAATCCCAAAACAAAAAGAATAGAAATGTTGAATGAAATTATTGAGTTGAAAGAATATTATTATTCGAATGATTCGAGCACTCTTCGGAGTTTAATTCGCGAGTCACGAATTAATACGAGTCCAATCACTACTATATACTAGAATATCATAGTTTATTATAATTTTAAAATATTGCGAGTGCACATGATACTAACGTAATATAAGTGAAGCAAAATAATGTGATTTAGTGTGATTTTGTTTAATCACACTAAATCACAATTTCCGTGTCCCCGAATCATATCACAACTCTAATAATTTTCAATGTCATTTTCTTTCGACGTGACTAGCAATTATTAAACTATCATCTTTTTCCTGTACATATTGTATATTATTACCTTTCAATATGAAATATATTATGCATGAAGAAGCATTAGAAACATTAATTAACATTGAAACGCTTGAAAATAATGTGAAATTACCTAATATTCCATGTTTTTCATCATAATCCAATGCATTTAATGGTAATTGATAATTAGTATGTTCTATGAATTGGCTAGTATATTTTGCTTCAGGATGCGTTTTGTAGTAATATTCGACAGATTTTGTAAGGTCATTAGATGTTTCTTCACACTCTTTAATTTGAATGACAATTTCGGTTGAACTATCATTTGAAACATCATTATTCCATATTCTTAAGATGTCATATACCTTTTCAGAAGTTGGTCTATTATTTGGTCTTGCATCCCAACATTTCATAATAAGCTTAGCTATTAACATTGGAACGTGTGAAGGAATTGCTGGACGTAGACCATGCAAAATGTTATGCATAAGACTAATGTCATGTGGAATATCAGAGAATGCTAGATTTCCTGAGACTATTTCATACGCTATAATAGCGAAAGAATACATATCTGAGGCTGTAGAATATGATCTATTATTTAACACTTCGGGTGCAATATATGGTATGACCCCATAAATACCGTCTTTTGTTTTTAATACATTATTAATTGTAATAGCAAGTCCCAAATCACCTATATATGCACTGTATAAATCATTTTGCAATATATTGCCACTATGTAAGTCACAATGGATAATGTTATGAGAGTGAATTAACTTAAGATCAGTGGCTATAAATAATAAAAGATTTAATTTTTCTTTCCATTTCATTTGTGCAACAAGGTTAAGATTTTGACGTAAAGACCCAGCTGGAGCATATTACATGACTAATAGATAATCCCCAGTAATTTCATCTTTTGATGCTCCATGGCACTGCAAAAATGTAGGATTTTTGACTGCAATTTCATAATATGCATTTAGCTATAAAAATTACATATATTTTTTTTGTTAAAATGAAATAAATAAAATACGGATCACATGACAATTTATTTATACCTCATCCAAAAAGTCAGTACTGTCTTTTGCTGATCCATTAAAAATTTTTAGCGCAACAATCGTATTATTATTCGGCATTTTCTATGTATCGGATTTTGCAATTACAAACTGTTATCCGGCATTTGAAATTTTATCATTTTTAT